AAATACAGTGCCAACAAAAAAAGGAAATAAAAGTATTGCTAACACAGGAAAGTGATTCTTTTAGAAACTACCATATGGTTTTAGGCAGCTCCCAAAATAAAAAAAAAAAAAGACTGCTGTTGCTGCTGACCTGGCCTCTGCAACATTTTTGCACAAGTGATTCTGCACAGAAGAAAATGCCATAGACCAACCACAGTGCATCATGTAACTTGTCTTCTATTAAAGAGGCTCTGATGTGCTGATGCTAAAGAAATCGTCCCTGTGTGATTACTCTTAGGACTTGTTCCATGACAGTAACCACAAAGGAAGTTACAAAAAAAAGATTTGGAAAAGATCAATGAGGGACTAGAGAAGATCTCTTCCATTCAGAGAAATTGGAGTGGAAGGGACTGCACATACATCTCTTAGAAAAGGACTGATACAGTGAATAGAGATCTGGCCTTGGAGTCAGGAGGACTTGAGTTCAAATCCAGCCTCAGACACATAACACTTAGCTAGCTGTGTGACCCTGGGCAAGTCACTTAACTCCGATCACCTCACCAAAAAGCAAAAAAGAAAAAAGAAAAGAAAAGAAAAGGAATGATAACAAAACTTCACATTTCTAAGTCCCATTTTTACACAGGGATTTGAGAGTGCTTGGGATAGGCTGAAGTATCCTAACATCCATATGTGGCAGCTCCTAAATATTATAAAGATTTAGAACAGGCCATGAGCAACTAGGGGGCACAGTGAATAGAATGCCAGGTCTGGAGTCAGGAAGATTCATCTTCCTTAATTCAAATATGACCTCAGATACTTACTAGCTATGTGACCTTGGACAAGTCACTTAACCCTGTGTGCCTCAGTTTCCTCATCTGTAAAATGAACTGGAGAAGGAAATGGCAAACTATTCTAGTATCTCTGCCAAAAAACCCAAAATGGGGTCACGAAGAGTCAGACACAAATGAAAAATGTCTGAACCACAAAAGAACAGGCCGATAGAATGAAAAAAGCAATTATTTAACCAAGAGCAAAAAAAGATTCAAACTCAAATATACAGATACACACAGCTGAAATCCCACAGCCCCCTCCTCAATTCTTATGTATCTATATCACTGAGAAAGTCTACATGCATTAGACATTTATAGAATGAGGAAATACAGCTTTTAACCCTCATTCAAACACATGAAACTAATCTTTTTTTTCTTTAGCCCTACCTTAAAGAAAGGTTATCATCTCAGTGACAGAGATCTAGAAGGAAAATCCAGTGGTTATCTCAGCCCCTTCATTTTACTAGGAAGAGAACGAGGACCAGAGAAATGAAAGTGACTTACCCAAGGTCACACAGGTGACAAGTGGCAGAGCTGGTATTTTTAATTCTAACTCCAGCTCATTGCCACTACATAGCACTGCCTTTCAAATCAAGGACCCCACTGGCAGCTTTGTCAAGGAAAAACATTCATAGATGTGTACTTAAGCTTTGCCGTAGACCATCCATCATCCTGTAAATTGTTCTGTCAACAACTAAACTAAAGTTTCATATGCCCACCAGGTGCTCTATACAAGGAGGGAGTTGGTGGATTCAGAAACATAAGTAAATGTACAATCCTGTGGTACTCACTTATTTATGCACCATTCGTAAACCATATCAAACATTTGTTAATGGCACTTTCCTTTTTGGGTGGAAGGGGAGTGAAAGACCAATAGAGTCATATGAAGTAACAATTCATTTTCTCCTCTGGCATTTGGTCTTTCTCTTCTCTTCTCCACCGTGCATATGTTTGCAAAAGATCTACCCATAAAGAGTTCTGGGACAAATGGAATGGGACTGTGTGAGTCAACAAGATGTGCTTTTAGAGTATATAATTATATAAATTTTATATAAGGGGCTTCACATTTTGACAATAGTAATGTGTGCAGTGGAGGCAGCTAGGTGACTCAGTGGATAGAGCACTGGGCCTGGAATCAGAAAGATCCGAGTTCACATCTGACCTCAGACACCAGCTGTGTGACCCTGGGCAAGTCACTTAACTTCTGTTTGCCTTAATCCACTGGAGAAGGAAATGGCAAACCATTCCAGTATCTTTACCAAGAAAACCCCAAGGACAGTATTGGTGTGCTATGGTCCACAGGGTCACGAAGAGTCGGACACAACTGAGTAACAACTACAAAATGGGTACAGTGTCCTGGTAACAGCTAACTTTGCAAAGTGTCAACTCTACTTCAAGTAAATAATAACAACTAACGTTTAGGGAATACTTTACAATCTACAAAGCATATTTTCTACATTATCTCATTTTATTATCTAAACAATCCCATTCTATGGATGAAGAAACTAATGCTCAGAAATATTAAGTGTGTTAGCTAACAAGTAGCAGAAAGTGAATTCAGCATTCTCTTCAGTGAACCACAGATGCCTGCCAATAATAGCTCACTTTTATGTAGCATTTTGAGGTTTATGGCATACTTTTCTCACAGCAACTACATACAGCAGATAGCAAGAATTGTTATCCCCATTTCATAAATCAGAAAACTAAGGGAGATGAAGTACTTTGCCCAGGGTCACATAGTTATGAAGTGTCACAGCTGACATTTGAACCCAAAACCCTGTGACGCTAAGACCACTACTCTTTTCCACTAACAATCCAGGAATTTAAATAGCAATTATAATATGGTGGGCAAATAACATCCTGGACTTGAATTAAGGCAGACCTGGGTCCAACTCTAACCTGAGACACTAACAGCATAACCTTGTGCTAGTCATTTAATATCTTATTCTCAGTTTCCTCATCTGTAGAATGGGAATACTGAATAGAGCGCTAGGCCTGGAGTCCTCTTCCTAAGTTCAAATCTGGCCTCAGACATTTACTAGCTGTGTAACCTTGGGCAAATTACTTAACCCTGTTTGCCTCAGTTCCTCATCTGTAAAATGAGCTGAAGAAGGAAATGGTATATCGCTTTGGTATCTGTCAATAAAACCCAAAATGGTGTCACAAGGAGACCAATTGGGACTGAAAAATGAATGAAAATGTCAAGTGTTATGTAAATATCAACTATTCTAGTCATAGGCACATCTAATCTTTCCTGAGATAGTCTTCCAAAATTTAAAGCCACAATATAATTTTCCTAACAAATAAACATTAGCCTCTTCTCACTGTTTTGATTTATATTTCTGTCCACCCCCCCTTCCTAACAATGTTATGATTGTTCTATTTCTTTTGTTTATATAAATCATTCATATTTTCCCCTTCTTATAAGCAATTGCATAAAATGTAATAAATATTGTATAATATTTATTGTATATTATAATAAATATTGTATAATATAATGTATAATAAAATTGTGTTAATGTTTCAAGGAAAGGCCAGGTCTTAGCCTCTTGTCAGACTGTACTATCTATGCTCCCCTTCTTTCCTCTAAAAGCAAAACATAACAGTGGTCCCCCTTCTGTGGACTTACAGTGCTTTTCCCACAGAATGCTCTTATTAAATGATTGTTGAATTGATTTCTGAGCTTAAAAAAAAACTATCTTGGTCCTTCATTAGATTGTGAGCTCTTGGAGGGAAAGGGCTGTCTTTTGCCTCTTTCTGTATCTCCAGCACTTAGTACAATACTTGGCACACAGTAGGTGCTTAATAAATGTTTATTGACTGACCTTCCTTAAAGTGTTCTGGATTGACCTTGTCCAAAGACTCTTAATAGTGCTATGCTCCAAAATGAATATGGGGAAAGAACAAACTAAACATTTTCCTCTTAAGAGATGTAAAAGTCTTTTTTTTTGAAAGACAGAGTGAAGTGTCAGAAATAAGAATCAGTCACAATTCAGGCTTTTCCTAAAGTGGTCTAGAGTAAATTACAGGGTTTAATGTTTGTTTTCCTACTCCCACTTGACAGAAGACATTTCTGAGACCAGAAATATTAGCTTCAGTTTTAACACGAAGAAGATGTGTTTACTTAAGACTTGGCATCCTTGGCCCTCCTGAGAGAGCTGTCCCCTTCTTTTGAGGATGCTATGCCCAGAGTTCTGACGATACCTAGAATACCCAGGAAGGAGAACAGGGGTGACTTCTGTCAGATGAACAGTTTCTGCTCGGGTTTGTTACTGTACCAAAATCTTTCCAGAACCACCTTCTCGCATCCAGGGTCTACAAAATCCTCACAAAACATAACTTCTCCTTATCTATAAACTTTTGCAATGGTTGCAAAATAGGAGACTGTTCCTCTTTTGCTTTCCTTTCTTCTGGCGCAAGGAAAGGAACCTTTCAAACCTGGGAAAGTAAAGACGTCTTTTTTCTACCTCTGAGGAAATAAATCCATCAGCGCTAACAGAAAAACGACCACCAATCCCACGTCGTAGAGAAGGGAATATTGTTTTTATGCTGAGGATTCCCGAGAACTTCTTGGAGGCAAAACGGTACTCCCCTGCTCTCTCCCTGCCAAAACAAGCAGGATCGACCTGTCTCGGAGCCAAGACACGTCGGGCAGTGCCGGGGCACCACAGAGATGGTTCTTGGATAAGAGCGCAAAACACCGAGCTTCTAGGGCAGGGGGCAGGGCAGGGGGCAGGAGCAGGGGGCAAGGGGCAGAGGCAGTCTCTACCTCCCACCTGCGGCTCCCCTTGCAACTTTTCTCCCTTAAAATCGTCGCCTATCGCTACCCATAACATCTCCATTTTTTCTCTCTTACGCCTCCAACTCAGACTTCTATGATCCCGATAGGGGAATCCAAGAAAGACCTTGAGTAACCCCCCTGGCTCCACCTGGGATCAGGGCCGATCTGACGTCCCCACACACCCAAGGATCCCCAAGCAGGGAGGGAAAAAAGTTGAGAACGCCAGGTGGGGAGATCCTGACGCCAAGCTGGGGTGAGGGAATCTAGAGGCAGCGCCCCATCCCTGAGTCCTGCCCTAGCCTCCTGGGGCTGGGACTTAACCCATATGGGTCAGGAGCCCAAGGAGCTGTCTTAGGAGTCAGAACCTAGGAAGCGCTGCCCTCCAGGGGAAAGAGTCTCTTGGAGAATACCTTGGATATAAGTGCATTTGCTCTCATCTAGCTGGCTGGAAGCAGATCCGCCCATGGTGCTGAGGCTGCCGCTGCTGAGGCTGCTGCTTCTGGAGTTGTTGCTGCTGGGACGGCCCCGGAGGCTGCTGAGGACGATATCCCTCTGCTCGGGACTCGCTGCTGCTTCCCAAGCTTTCACCCCACCCGGGGGCGGGACAGGCTGCTCCCACTGGGCAAGCCGTTCCCCCCTGGGTCACCGCCACACGCCCAAGAGCAGCCAAGCAACTGGAGACTGGTGGCTTCTAGGTGTATGGATGTGACCCAGTACTGGGCTTTGAGTTTTCTCCTCTCTGTTTCTTCAATTAAAATGTAAACTTCCTCCAAGAGGCGCCGCCTTCTCAGACGCCTCCTTCTGGTCCTCGCCCCCTGGCAGTGTGAGGCATGCAGGCTGGGCTTTCTCTCTCTACACGAATCTACAGATAGTTTTCTCTCTGTGTCTCAGGCTCTTAACTTTGTTGTTCTTCCTACTCATCTCTCATCCCTCCACCCCAAGGTGGAGATGCTCAAGGTAAGGAGGTACTTCTTACTTAGTCCAGAGCCTTTTTTTCCCCCTGCAGGGAAAGTAAAATTACAGCTTTAGGAGAATTGTGGGGTTTTCCCATTCCTGTATGAATAAGGTGCCAGGTCCTGAAAGTATTTCATTGGTTCTCAAATAGTTATTTATTCCAGAAACTGCCAACTTCTACCTTGCACACCTCCTAGTCTCTTTTCCTTTCAAAAAAGGAAGGGGAGGGAGAAGAGGGACACAGAAAAGAGAAAGACACAGACACACAAAAAAGAGAGAGAAGAAAATTTATTGCAAGAACAAAAATGGCACAGTCTATGAGATTCTGCTCCGTATAATCTCTTAATTAAGGCATAGATATGTTCATGGAACCTGTAGGGATTCCATATACTATCAACATTCATTTCAAGTCATCAAAAACCTACTATGTGCAAGGCACTGTCTGTCTTAACCAGTGGTTCATCTTAATCAATCTGTGTCCAGGGGAAATGGTGAAAATGACTCTATTCAAATAAATACCAAAACTCTTAATAATTATTTATGATTTCTTAACAAGTAAGACCCAGTCCTGGTGGAGCTGTCAGTTCTGGGAAGCGGAAAACCTTAGCAAAGCTCTGTAAAGGATTTTACCTGGCCACATTACAACAGTGTCTAGTAGCTACTTTAACCTTAGCTCCATTTTTTTTCTTTTTAATTTTTATTAATAGCTTTTGTTTTTAATTTATGTTTAATTCTGAATGTATCCATGCCTCCTCCCCTTCCAAGAGACATCTCTTGTAATATCCCTCCCTCAAGTCTTTCCCTACTGTAATCCATCCTTCACTCAGTTGAAAAATTGTTCCTAAACTTACTAAAACTGAGGTCTGATTATATTACCTTCCTATTTGGTAAAGTCCAGTGGCTCCCTCTTATCTCCAGGATCAAATATAACATCTTCTCTTGGCTTTTAAAGCCCTTCATAACCTAGGTGACCCCTTCCTATCTTTCCAGTCTTCTTACACCTTACTCCCCTCCACATAAGCAGCAGTTCAGGGACACTGGCCTCCTTGCTGCTATTCATCCCACAGTATACTACATCACCTAACTGTGCATTTTCACTGACTCTCCTCCAAGCCTGGAGCGCTCTCTCTCTCTCTCTCTCTCTCTCTCTCTCTCTCTCTCTCTCTCTCTCTCTCTCTCTCTCTCTCTCTCTCTCATTCTCCTCCCCTCTTTCCCTTCCCCCTCTCTCCCTTCCCCCCCTCCTTCCCTCTCTCCTTTTCCCCATCTCTCTTTCTCTTTCTCTCTCTCTCTCTCCTTCCTTACCTTCTCCTCTCTCTTTCTCGCTTTCTCCTTCCCTCTCTCCCTTCTCCCTCTCTCCTTCTCCTTGTCTCTCTGTCTCTCTGTCTTTCTGTGTCAGTCTGTCTCTGTCTCTGTGTCTTTGTCTTTGTCTGTCTCTCTCCTCTTTTCTATAATTGTGTGCATGTTGTCTCCTCCATTAAACTAAGAGCTCCTTCAAAGCAAAGACTTTTTTTCTTTTTTTGTCTTTATATCCCCAGTATTTAGCATAGTGCCCGGCACTATGACTCGCTGGTGCTTTGACTAGTAGACCGGTTGACTTGACACGAAGAATTTTTAAAAAGAGTGGGAGGGGAAGCAGCCTAGCAAAACTAACCAGTACAACAATTGAGTTTGACAATATAGCCAATGTTCCACATTCATAGCCCCTCGCTCCTGCACAGAAAGGAGGAGGTGCATTTTCTCATCTCTTAGGACCTAGCCTTGGTCTCAGTGCTCACTTTTCGTTTTGTCCTTGCTCTTTTCATTTACGTTGCTATAGTTCTGTATGTCGCCTTTCTGGTTCAGCTTGATTCATTCCACTTTCATTCATATAAAGTCTTTTCATGTTTTTCTGTATACTTCATGTTCATTGTTTCTTATAGCACTGTAATATTCTATTATAATCATGTACCGCGTATTTAATCATTCTCCAATCTGTGCTAAACCCCCCATTTTTATGAGTACTTCCACAAAAAGAACCATCTGCATCTCCAGCCCTGCCCTCTAGACCCAAATTCTTCAAGGATAGCTCTACCTGGAGGTCCTTATAGCTCTTCAATCTCAACCTGTCCCAGACTGAGCTTGATCATCTTTCTCACCTGCTTTTCCTTCTGACTTTACTAATTCTACCATTCACTCCATTTCCGGTGTTCTTAGCCTTAGAGTTCTCTTTGCTTCTCCTCCCTGCCCCACCTCTCATAATAGTTAGTTACTAAATCTTAATGATTTCAACCTATGCAACATTTCTCAAATCTGTGTCCTCCCTATTTCTGTTGCTGCTATCGCATTACAGGACTGAATACTAATACATTAACCACTTGGGCTACTGCAATAGCCTTCGGCTAGGTCTTGTTATCTGATCTCTCTTCCTCACTTGTAATCCTGCTGGAATAATCATCCTTATCTATACAACTGCTCCATGTTCCTCCTCTGCCCAACACCCACCTAACTGCAAAAGTGACAAACTGTGAAAATGGCAGTCGTTTGAGGGCTTCTGGAAGGATGGGCACATTGATGTAATACTAGTAGAGTTGTGAATCAGTCAACCATTCTGGAAAGAATTTTTGAACTATTCCCCCAAAGTCACTGTGCATCCCATATATCCCAATACGCATATATCTGCAAAGAGGTCAAACAAGAGGGTAAGCACCCATATGTATATAAATATATGTATATTGCTACTTTTGTTATAGCAAAAATTTAGAAACAAAGTGGGTGCCTATCAACTGGGAAAAGGCTGAAAAAAATGTAATAAGTAAAGGTAATAGAATATTATTGTGCCATAAGAAAGGACAAATATAATGAATCCAGATGAAATTGTGAAGGATTGTATGAACTGATGCAGAGTGAAATGAGTAGAATCAAAACAACTTATATGATGAGCACAATACATAAAGAAAAACAACTATGAAAGACCAAAACTCTGAAAAGGCAGTGACTAATCATGATTTCAGAAAATGGATGATGAAACATGCTACTGACTTCTAAGCAGAAAGAGGATGGACTAAAAGTTTAGAATGAGACATCTACAGATATTTCCAATATGTCAACTTGTTTTGCTTGACTATAAATATTTGTCACAAAAGAAGACTTCTATTAAGCAGAAGGGGAAGAGTTAAAACAAAAGAAAAGAGCATCAATAAAATACTTTAAAAGTACACAGAAGGGGCAGCTAGGTGGTGCAGTGGATAAAGCACTGTCCTTGGAGTCAGGAAGACCTAAGTTCAGATCCAGACTCAGACACATAACACTTCCCAGCTGTGTGACTCTGGGCAAGTCACTTAACCCCAATTGCCTCACTAAAAAAAAAAAGTACACAGAAGAAAAAAAGAGTTCAGAAGGGGACATAAACAGGAAAAAATTGTTACCACAAGTAAATTCAGAAGTACTTCCACAGAAAGAACCATCTGCATCAAAAATTGTGTTACTGCCTATTAACTTCAAGTTAAATTTAATATACACTTTTTACAAAAGCCCAAACTACACATTCACAGTTTCATGTGCAGCCTACTTTTGGTTTGTCATATATTAAAAATTTTTTGATGATTGCTAAGTTCATAATACTTTTTTAAATCTTGAGTGGCTTCCTGTTTTCCATCAAATAACATACACACTCCTTTGCCAAGGAGGCACTCAAGGCCCTCTATTTCTGGTGCTATCCTACCCTTCCAGTGTTATCTCATATTATTCCTCTCCACGTCCTCCATGCTCCAGCCAAATAGGATTGGTTTCTCCCTCCCAAACAGGTCCTTTACTCTACTTTCTCCCAAGTCTTAAGTCACAATAGAATGTCTTCTCTCCTGCTCTTCACCTCCTGTATTCTCACTGATAGCAAAACCCAACTCAACTGCCATCTCCTCCATGAATCCTCCTTTGATACCTGCTGTCAATAATAACTTTTCACCTTAGATCTTACATAACACTTTTTTGTACAACTTTTTAATGCACTTACCATGTGATACTATGTTTTATAGTTATCTGTGTTTATGTCTCACCTCTGTTAGGTTATAAGCTCTAAGAGCACAGGCACCATGTCTTAGCTATTGAATCTCCCTGAGCACCCAATATAGTGCTCTTTACATAGTAAGTACTTGATAAATATGTGTGAAATGAATAAAGGACTGAAGATCAATCTATGAACTTATGACTGTCCAAGGTGAATACCTGCCTAAAGATAGGGACATTAGCTAAGTGACCACTTGAGGTCTCTAACACCTTTAAGAGTCTATAGAAAAGATGTGTGTCTAGCCTCATCTTTGGGCAAATGGACAGAAGAGCTAAAAGAATCCAGAGATGAAACTTTATCATTCTACCACAATAAAAATCCCTAAACAGTCATCATCCGGAATAAGAAAAGCAGCAACAACTCGTCACACTTGAACATGATGTATCAATAGCATTTCCATACCTGAAAGCTCCCCAGATCATTTCTTCCTAACCTTAAAGATGAATTTTCTGAGTGATTACTCTCAATGGGAATGATAAGGCCTAATTGGCTGTGTATAGGACAAGGATGATTCTACCTCTTCTCATCTGTGAGATGCTGCCCTCATGGCCCCAAGTGAGACAATTTCCACTTTAATCTGAAAAAGCCATAAAAACATTTGAATTTATTTAACAAATGACGAAGTCATCTGGCACATAAGAAATATTTTCGGACAAGAATGCCCTATAATTTAACCTATTAGATTGTTTGAATCATTTCTTAATACTCCATTCAGCTGATAAATATGGTTAAGTGTAGACTCCAGGAAAACATTCTAGT